ATGAAGATATTGCTGACAATGAAGGTGATGTCGACGCCCACCGTGGCACCGATCATGCAGGGGAAGATGTAAGCCCAGTAATTCCCGTCCCGGGGCGCAAAGGCAAAGAGAAGCACGCAAAGGATAAAGCCGCAGGCGGAGATGATAAGCAGGATCCTGCCAGGGAGGCGATGCAGCGTGAAACCCCCGACGGTGGCGATGACCATGCCGCCGGCAGCCATGGGGGTGAACCAGACGGCCGTCAGCAGGGTAGATTTGCCCATGTAATCGCTGATGCTAAGGTAGACAGGTCAGCCCCGGAAACTCAGTACGAGGCAACGAAGAGAGGGCCACTTACTGAAAGCTGGCGTAGAACAAAAAGGTACCAAACACGCCATAAGCGAAGAACAAGGCCACCGTCAGCCGGCCCATGTACTTGGGCTTGAAGATGTCGAACGGTAGCAGCGGCTGCTCGGCGACCCAGCCCTCGATGTACACCGTAGCCGCGAGCAGCAGCACGCCCAGCACGAAGGTGACGATGATGTAGGGCGTGCGCCAGCCATCGGGCGCGTGGGCACCGTCGGTGATGGCAAAGGTCGTCAGGATCAGCGCCGGGATGAGGGTCGCCGTGCCCCAGTAGTCCATCTTGACGTGGACGTTCTCCTTCCGTGTCTCTGCCCGGTCGCGCGGGATCGTGGTGAACGAGACCACGGAACACACAAACGTCACGATGCAGCCCAGCCAGAAATACCACCGCCACGACATGAACTGCGCCGTGCAGCCGCCCGTGATGATGCCGAGGTAGAAGCCGATGGGAGCAAAGGCGCTCCACAGGCTGAAGACGAGGTTCTTCCTCGGGCCGGGACGGTACGTCTTGCCCAGCAGCATGATGCTGGTCGGCAGGAAGGCAGCCGGGCCCAGGCCGCCCAGCGCGCGCGTGACGATGAGCATCTTGTAGTTGACGCTGAAGCCCGAGATGAGGGACCAGATGGAGAACCAGACGAGCCCGGCGTTGAAGACGATGTAGGCGCCGTAGATGTCGCCGAGACGGCCCAGGGGGAGGAGGAAGGCGCCCGTCACGAGCGAGAACACGCTGGCCGGCCAGGTCTGGGCGTCCTTGGGGATCTCCAGCGCATGGGACACGGCGGGCAGGATGATGTTGAAGCCCGAGATGAAGAATTCCTGCGTGGCGGTTCGTCAGTGTGGTTCTTGCACCATTGGGATTCCTCGTCCGTCTTTCACTTACAGCCATGAACATGGAGACGAGCAAGGAGCTGCAAAACAAAATCTCGTAGACGGCATTGGGGAACACGGCCGGCCGTTGGCGGCCCAACCGTTCCAGGTCGAGCTCCTCAGCCTCCGGACCCGAGATCCTGCCATTGTCGTCGGTCCCCGAGGGACTCTCCACATCGGTGCGGCCCATGGTATTGTCGGTGGGATGGTCCTATCCAAGATAATGCCGCCATACCGGTCTGGACTGGATGTAAACACATCGTGACGGAAAATGAAATGGTTTTATACAAAGTGACGGGACTCCGCCGGTGGATAACGCAACCCGAACATGCATCACCAGAAGTCAACCCATTACTAACAACTTTACTGTCGTGCCGAAGAGCGGACCTGCAGATGTTGAAGATTTGGTGCAGATCTGGGTTTAGCGGGACCTGTTCGGACCCCGCTTCCTCGCCCGTTCTTGACAAAAGAGGCACCAGTTTGAATCATAGGCGGAGCACGGGCCCAATTGAGAATTCCCTGCCGGGCTGGGCAAATGCAAAGCGGTGCAGTTTTGGTTCCTGTTTGGGTTTAGCGCAGTCGCGGCAGGTGCGGACCGCCAGGGTCTGGGCGGTTGGAGTGAAATGGCGGGGAATGGTAAACGTCACTGCAATGGAAAGTTCGTTCGATTTCCTCGATCCGCACCGCGCGCCTTCCGACCAACGCCTCGCCAGGCTCTCGCCAGGCCGTCTGAGCACATTCCAGCTGGACCTATGCCAGGGCCCAACGGCAGCCCTGAAGGAGCATCGTCGAGAGCTTGCTACAACTGCCGCCGGCGCCGACTTCGCTGCGACCGATCGCGTCCGACGTGTCGGAAGTGCTGGAGCACTGGCGTCGAGTGTCTTGGCTATGGCACCGTTCTGCGCTGGGCGAATGCCCCGGCCGTCCGCGGTAGGCTGGTTGGGCAGCTGGCGGTGACGAGCTCAAACCCCCAACCAACCTCTATCGAGCTCAACAGAAGTTCATACTCCATCGGGCCCTCTCTTCTCGACCCGCTGCTGAACGATCTTGACCCAAAAGCAAGACACTATGTCCACCACTGTACGTTACGGATAGACGATCCCGGGCGGCTGGAGACTTGTGGGAGGGGCTCTAACTCACAGATACAGTCACAGTCAAGGTATGCCAGGACCTCGTCTCCTTCGACCAACATGATCGGAACCCATTCCGGCTCATCCTCCCTCTCGCGGCCAAGTTCAACTACCTGCAGGCCATTATCGTCGCTACAGGGGCGATGCATATGGCCGCTGCCCTACATGGCCGTCAAGACCGGGAAGCAAGATCAGAGCTGGTAGACGCTCTGGTGGCCAAGGACAAGGCGATCCGGCTGCTTCGGTCCGCCGTTGACTGTGTGACGCCCGCGGACCAAGCCATGGTCCTTGCCGCCACTGTCTTCCTCATCAACCTTGACCTGATCGACTCGGGCAAGGGCGGGTGGCAGGCTCATATCGAAGCCGCCAGCACACTGATGATGTCGTTGAACGACCCGGTGCACGCGCCGGACCAGTCGCTCATGCCTCTTCTCGACGCCATCGCCGCTGACTGCCTGACATACCGCGTCCTGGGCTCGGCCATCAGCGGGGTATGCCTGACATCGTGGGACGACGACCTGGCCGACCTCCTCCCCGTGCTCAGGCGGGCCGAGCCCTACAGCTACCACTGCTGCCCGCCGGAGATCCTCCAGATCCTCCTCTCCGCAAGCAGTCTCTGCGGGCACGGGGCCGCCGGCCAAGCTCGCGTCGAGAGGGCCCTCTCCCTGCTGCACCAAGCCCGGTCGCTGGACGTCGCAAACTGGGTGTACAGCATCCGCGGCCTCTCCGCGCAGGACGACCTCGCCACTCGCGTCAGTATTGCGCTCGCCCACCAGGCGACCGCCTGCCTGTACATCCTCCTCGCCGTGCCCGAAGCCGCTCCCTCCCCGTTCGCAGTGGACATGCTCGTTCAGGAGGTCCTCCGCCACTTGGACGCCGTTCCCATCGACCATGTCCACCTGAAGGGGACGATATGGCCGACCTTCATGGTCGGCGCCCAGACGGACGACCCGGCGCAGCGGGCTTGGTGCATTGAGCGGATGCAGGCTGTGTGGGCGCGGAACCCGTGGTCCTGTCCGTGGGGGTACATCCGCACCGCTGTGCAGACGATGCAGGATCTGTGGGAGGCGAGGGACCGGGAGCCGGCGGGGGCGGGGAGGAGCAATTGGCTGCTGGAGTTGAAGCGCGTGCGGGATAAGTGCTTGATTGTGTGAGCTGGATCAGCAGGATTGTATGTCGAGTCCGATGCATTCCCAGCACTTATGAGTCGGGCTGCCTGACCAGGGTGGCCCCTTGGTGTTGAACCAATGCATCCCCAGAGCTCCAGAGAAGAGCCGGCTTAATGACCAAGTTGACCAAATTGGGCCAGTGTGCATTACTCAGCGCTTCGCAGCTGTTCTGGAGCATCTCTTTCCAAGAACCGCGATGTTGGCGCCTTGTTGTCGGTTGAAGGCAAGCAGAGATGAGGGTCAGGTGAGTTATCATCCGTCGCATGACACAGCCTCCCTTGACTCCAACTCCTGGACTGCCGAACCCCGAGGTCCAGCCCATGAGCCACGGTCTCCTCGGCCGTCGATGGCGTGATCACAAGATGTTCCATCAGTCCAGCTCTAACTGCAATGAGCAATTTGAGCCGCAACCCCCGATGCTGGATTGCACAAACAGCCGCAGGGTCGTCGTCTTGCCATCGCTTCTCCAATTGCTTTTATCATCAAGTGATTTACTGCGTGCTTCCCAATCGCGACGGGTCTCTTCACACCATCCTGCACGTCCGGTCTCACTCTGCAGCCCTGTCTCCTGTCGACCCTCTCTGCGGGCCCTAGCATGGTCAGCCACTGGTTCCATGTACAAGCCACGACGTTGGTCATCCATTGAGCTTTACCCTGCAATCCTCCCATGCTTCTGAAAGGGATGCGACATCTGCTGCGTGTGTCAAACCGGCGACAGACCTTAATAAGAATAGTGTACCCCCTCGGAAAGTGCGCTGACAGGGGTCCTATGCTGGGGCTTTTGACCATCTGGATCGTGATCATCCCTCTCCTATCAGGCCCTCCTTTCATGTGTTCTAATGACCCAGCGTGGCAAGCCCCTGTCTCGTGGCAGCACAGGCATCACACCAACTCCCTGAGTGGAACGTAGCCCATCATCTGCCAACCCAGTACCTTAACTGTCCAGATCGTGCGTGAATTGATCCGAACTACATTCCACTCCTCAGCCATGACGACAATGCACGACCAAAACTTCAGTAAGTATCGTTGTGGCTGTTAGGACGGTACGCCCGTCGAAGCTGTTAGAGGCATTGGATGGTGTGCTTTATTAAGGGGTCGGCGAGGAGCTGCAGGGGGCCAGGCTGCGGCCCGGGGTTCGGGTCCGAGAGGACTGCTGGCGCTTGCGCTGGTGCTACCTGGCATGTATGTACAGTACTATCCATATTTACTGTGGTGGAACGTCAAGTTGGACATGAGCAAAGTGATCTTCAGGTCCCAAGGCTTAAGACGAGGGGCTTCTGTCCGGGTGTGCATTGCACAATCACATCTGTACATACGGCACGTACCAACTCGAAACTCTCCTTAATCCGACCGGTTCCGACAACTTCAGTTCCTTGTGGTAGAATCCATGGACTACGGTCATCGTATTGAGTCCAACCAAGCAAAAGTCGAACAAAAACACACCGAAAAAGGACAACCCGCTCCACCCACTCACTTCTCCAGTGATCATTGCCCACAGCCAGAATCGAACTGACGACCTTGTCATTGACCCAGAAGAACCCCGGTCCTCGGGGATTCTACTAGTGACACGCTCTACCACTGAGCCATGCGGGCTTTCTCGTATTGTTGAACGCCGATGCCGGATGCGGGGTTCATGAGACATTGTGGTGGGGCAGGGCTAGCCCTTTGACTCGCAGACCTCAACAGGGGTTGTAGGCTTTAGGAAGCTGCTTGCTGCTGGCCTTTGGCTGTTGCTTGTTCTGGCCTTGGAATTGAGCTTGGTCATGATGGTTGATGGCTTGATACTGTTGTCACAAGTCCCAAGTTATCGGTATGTGTACGACGAACACCGGCTCCAATCCCATGCCGGCAATCTCCCCTGTCAAACGGCGCCCGGTCGTCAAGAGGGTACAGAGCGCTTGACATGCGGGTTCCGTCATCTGTTGAGTCCCCTCTCAACACCTCACATGTTTTCTTCTCGGTGTCATTCCCCACGATGATGCCATTCTTAGTCCGCAGGAACTCTGGTTTGAGTCCAGCCCAATGACGTGGGCCGTTTGGGACAGAACGTGTACCTCGTCGTGGCCGTCGGCTGACCCCGGAAACAGCTTCTCATAAGAGCGTCGGCGACGGCAGTTGCAGTTCCCTGAGCTTGGGAATGTCGGAATCGCACTCGTCGCTTGTTGCCCTAGGCCATTCTTAGCAAACTGCGTCTGTCGGACGATTGTCCATCCACAGGGGCAGGATTAGGCGTCTCACCGAGGGAACAGGAGTTCCTGCGGGCGGAAGGCATCCGAAGAGAGGCCATACTTGCTGCTGCTGTCGAAAATTGTAGGCCAGTTGTGCCTACTCATTTTCTCGTCAGCTTGCTGCTACAGGTTCACTCCGGAAGTTGGCAACGGAGTCTCTGCTGCTGCCGAGATGCACTGGGAAGTGAGCTGGAAGGCTGCATCGATCTGGACGGTTGCGGTGATATTACCAAGACGAGCCTTGAACCAGGCAGGTCGATAACGTAACCGAACGGGAATTGTAGAACCAATTAATCGATAATGGGCAATAATGATGAGCACAAAGGCGATGAGGAAATGGATCATGAGGAAAGGGATGACAAAAAAGACGATGAGGAAAAGAAGGATGAGGAAACCGAAGATGCAAAAGGACGATGAGCAAAATGATCAACAAAGATGGTGGTAGGTGGGAGCGTTCCAAACCTAAGGCCTCTGGAAATCCAGTCCCAGAAGCTCCAAAGCTTTGCTCCTGCCACATAAGTACGGTATGTACCCAAGATTGCGCCTTCCTGACATGAACGAACGGCTTGAACTAAGGTGCATCATTGATCCACTACCTCAAGGCCGACGACGACCCTTTCGGAGCTCCAGGTCTTCCTCCCATCTGCTCAAGTGGCTGCTGCCTCTGGGCCGATCACGAAATCGATCGGGCTCTCGCTGCACAACATGTTCTCGCAGATTCCGTACTTCCTCCATTCCACTCTTCCGGCTCCTCCTGCCCTCTCTCCGTGCATCCCTCTTACCGGCGGTGGCAGCTACCCCAACCTCCTCCGCTCGTTCCGCCGCTTCACCCCTCTCCCGCCCCCTCCTTCCCCTCGAGGCAGGTTTCCCCCGATCCAGCCCCGGATACAGATTCCTCATATTGTGAATACTCGCCTGCATGTTCGCAAGCGACCCGCTCAACCGTTCCGCATCCGCCGCCAGCGCGTCCCTCACCTCGCAGTCCCGGTGCGACGGCGGCGCGCTGTAGGCCAGCCGCCTGATCGACTCGGCCGCGCGCTGTAGCTCTCGCGTGACCGAGTCCAGCGCGGCGGATAGCTCCCCGTCAATTGCAGCATCCGGCCCCCTGGCCACACCTCGTTCTGTCGTGCTAGCTTGCGCCGCGGCGGCAGCGGCGGCTTCCCTTTTCGCCTCCCGTTTGCGACGGACAAAGTGCCGGACGCCGAAGGCCACGGCGCCAACGGCCAGCTGGCTGATCAAGCCGTGCAAGTCGTCGCTGCTACTGCTGTCGCTTCGCGGCATGTCGCGGCTGCTGCTCCCTCTTTTGCTTGTAGAGGAGGCTTCTCGCTTCTTGCTGTGACTTGAACTCCGGCGGGAACTTGGGTCGCGGTGGCGGGATTGCGGTTTTGGTTCGCTCAGCTTCTTGAGGGAGTAGGAGAGGACTGCTCGGCCGAGTTGGTGTAGGATTTCGGGCGCTACTCCTGAGCGTGGGGTCGGCGACTTGGCTGCGCGCCGGCGTGATGAGGGCATGTTGAACGAAGTTGGGACTGTGGTCAAGACGGTCGATCTTACTGTACGGTGCGATCCGACAAACAATGCAGATGTTCTAGATAAAGTTGGATTGCTGCTTGCATTCGCCCTAGATGTGCATTTCCCGTTTTATTCATCTATACGCGTCCAGAGGCAGCCAACATGGTCTGCACGCGACCCGTGGGTGTTAGGCATGACGCTTGTTGGATCAGGCATGCGCGTCGCGTGACCAGGTGACCACGACACCACTACTTCCTCCCCCTCCTCCACGAGACTTAATGCTTAAGTGGACGTGCGCATGCCCCAAAGAGGTACCGCAACCTTGGAATAGTTCAAGGAGACCGAAAGATCACTGGGTGGTTTAGGGCTGCAGGTACAGATGCCCTATCTATCCGCTGTTCCAAAGGATTGATGGTGGTTCGGGACGTATCAATCTGAGACTCCAGAACTCGTTGAAGAGCCCGTTAGGTCCAGCGCAGCAAACGCTCCAAACCTACTCTAACTTCCTCGCGCGTCGTTCATCGCTGGCTTTGCTCCGAGTCCCTGTGCATGTCAGCTTGTGTCTCGCGGCGACCCAAACCCATGGCTCGCAAGAGGCTTACAATATAGCCAGCTCAAGATCTCCATGTATTTTTGCCTTGAGGTCGATTTCGACGTCCAAGTCCATGTCCAACCTGACTGCGGGGGCACTTTTACGCTCCTGGGTATGCTGTGCCTGTGCCGGCGCCGGCGCCGTTGCCTCATCCACCCTTCGAGCTACCTGCCGGCCATGAGCAGGAGGTTGCCGGGCAAGCTGCCTGTTGGCGCCGGTACTGCGGGCTCTTGCAGCGCTTGTGCTCTCCCGCTCCCATCCTCGTTCATCCTCTGTCCGAGTTCCAACATCCACCACCGATTCGCTTGCTCGCCGTGGCTCCATTGCCGGTCGCGTCGCGGTGTGTTCGTTCATTTCGTGTCGGAGAAGTAACAAGCCTTTGTCAACTGAAATGTCGCGGTTATTAGAGCTTCGTAGGCATTATCGTGGACTGATGTGCGGTCGCAAACGCTGACGACTGTTCCGGTTTAAACCCGAAGAGCAACGTTGATCAGCAACCTTTCGAGGCGAGGTGTGACGACTGCGGCGAAAAAGCATGTTACGGAAAGACTTGTCCTAAGAAGAGCCCAGAATCTTCGGCGGCAGATGCTCTGATGATGGTTGAGAGCCGGTGAGAGTGATGCGGTGGTATGACATCACTCCCGCGCCTGCACCCTGATGTCGATCAGGGCCCTGAAAATATCACCTCCGCCCACCGTTGCCAGCTAGAAACCTCAACTCTCTCCGGCTATGTGATGTAACTATGCTAAGGCTGACAAAATAAGCTAAGGCGCAAATGAACAAGCGTAGGTAAGAAGCCAGCTGGAAGTTCTATTGCCACTGCGATCAAACCCTTAAATCTTTGTATGCATTCTCGTCGGCGGCAGCCTCGGCCTTTTCCTTGGCCAGTCTCCCCATCTTTTCGGCGGCTGCGCTCAGGGTAGGCAGATTCGCTCCTTGTATTATGGCGTTGCCGTTGACAGCGACTTGTTTTCCGTCCTTGAAGAACATGAACGTGGGCATGGCAGCGACGCCGTACTTCTGCGCGACCGACCCGACGTTGTCGACGTTGACTTTGGCGAAGGCGAGGAAGCCCGGGATCGCATAGGTCGACGCCAGCTTTAGGAAGTGCGGCGCGATCATCTTGCACGGCCCGCACCAGTCGGCGTAGAAGTCGACGATCACGTATCGGGTCGATGCTAGGAGCTCATCGAAGGCGCTGTGCGACGAAATGGTCGAGATGTGTCCGCTGGCGTCGGCCATGGTTGGCAGAAGACTGAGATGCTTTGCGACCGGATTCACTGAGCAGTCGAGCGAAGGTCAGGAGGTAGATCGGACAGCCCGCGCGCGACGACCGATCAAGTGGTCTCCTCAGATAATATGGGTCCCCTCGGCACAGTTTGAATGGAGGTCAGAAAGGTTGTGGGGCCTGCTGCCCCATGGTCAAAAAAAGCAGAACACTAAACTAAGGCACCCAACAGTTTGAGCAAAAACGAGTCAAACAGGATTAGATCTGAAAAAAAGAAGGAAGAGAAAACAACTTGAAGTAAAGAGAAGGAAGCATAGTAATAGGAAGAACCGGAAGAAAGAAAGTAATGAGATAAATACGGTACTGTACTGGCGAGTTTCGCTCCGTCTTGTACCTTATGGTGCACAGCTTTTTTTGGCCAGAAGGCGCCAGGCTACAGTACACAGTACAGTACGTACAGTACAAATACTGGTCAGCGAACTGTGACCTACAGCTTTCGGCCCCACTGTAGGTAAATAAACCCCTGACTCCCGACTCCTGAGCCCTGACGTTCTGGCATGCCGGTGGCATCGTGACATAAGTTGTTCGGTTTACAGCCCCGAACGGTTGGCTCCTTCATGCATCCTTCGACCGCCGTTTTACCGGTGGCTTGTCCAGATACCTCAGCTGTTTCTTTCCCAGGCATGCTACAAATTTCAATCATATCATGCACATCCGAAGATAGGTACCGTATTGTATACAGATAGTAAGCTTCAGGGGGACCAGATCAGCTGGATATACGGATACACACCAAAGATTATGCATTCAATCAGTCGTGGAGACGGGCGGCGCGTACAAAGGACACGGACTGAGGTAAACAACGCCAGCTGATGGCTTGTGCTCACTGGGGATTCGTCATTGAAGAGCCAGAATCGGACGCTCTACCCCGGGCTTGGCAGAGTTCAACAAGATCACCTGGGCCTTCTGGCCAAGTGAGTACTCCTTGGCCGCGTCAGTGTAGCGCGCAGTGCGGCCTAAAACTTCTAAGCGCGTCACA